ACACCCCAACCAGGCACCCAGATGAAACCTAGCTTCCTAATAAATGATAGCCGTCTGTTTACTCGGAGCCAAGCCGCACTAAAAGCCTCCAATACAGGAAACACAATGTTGCCAGCCAATTAAGACAAAAAAGCTACAAAACAGACAGAAGATATTAGAAACACCAATCAAGCAGAACACAGCAAACTCCAAGACCAATAAACACAGACTAAGACTCCCAACCAATCAGGATGAAGAAAGCAGTAGTAGGCTAGCACCAAATTTAAAACAGAAACGGCTGTGAAAGTCTGACTCACAGACAAACACAATACAGAAGCCTGATGATGGCAGATGAGATTCTGCCGAAATGTTGCTACAACTTTAAAAGCACAACTATAACGATGTGGGAAAATACCCGAACAAAGCTGAGTACCATACATATAAATACCCGCGAGAACTTAAGAAAACACACACACACACACACATGTATACACACATACATACATACATATATATATATATATATTCAAGCTTTGTTCTTTGTATCAATTTTGGAAAACAGAATTCTCCAAATCTGGAGGTACTTCAGTTGTTTTTGCAGGTTGACTGAATCTTGAATGCTTATATTTATATTGGGATACTTACTCATATAATGGAGTGCCTCCTCAGCAAGAACAGGAGAAGAAATTTCAGGACCATGACTGTGAGAACTTCTTGACTGGATCCAGTCATCATTTACAGGAAGATATAAAGAATCCACATGTAATTTGTACTGAGGCAGCTGTTCTTCTAGCATGCTCACTAGTTCCACTTCAGGAAGGTCTTCATTAGGGCAATCATCTAAAGATACATGCGAATGCCATATCAACTTTGGAAGAAAACCATTATTTTCTTTGCTAAATAAATGCTTTTCAACATTCTGAAAAAAATGACTAATGTTATCCATTCTGAACTAAGGACAGTGAGAAACAACACAAGTCTTAAATGTTTACCTGTTAGAAATTAATTATCACTAACTAAAAAAAGCAATAGTTTTTAATCTATTGCACTGATTTGAAGACAGATTTCTCTTTTACTCCAGCTTTTATTAGTATTTTATTATATCCTTCATTCAAAAAGGCAGCATTCCTTTTTAAAGGAGCTGGTTTAGATGCTTTTCTTTCTTTCCCTCCCCAAACTTTTTTTCTATTTCTATATGATCTGCCTGCTCAAGCATTTTGGAAAAAATTACATGCCATTTAATCTATCTTGAGTTTGGCATAATAAAGGCATTGCTTTACTGTAAATTTGAGACAGTTCTAAAGTTCAATATAAAGTAGCCTTGAAGCAGTTATAATTTTCAAAACATCTACCAGCACCTTTTAATTTACTCATCAGCTTACCAGTGATGCTCTCTGAATTGCTGTGGTTGAAATTCATGAGGGTTGCTTCAGGCTTCAATTCTTTGAAAACCACATCCTCTTTCCGTTTTATATCTGGCTCCTTCTCATTTGAGTTGAATGATTGTTTGGCAATAATTTATTGCTGGCATTCATTTCATATCAACTAGACAGACAGGAGGATAATTTAGACCAAAGGAAGATACATTTTAAGCTGCCAGGTTCACTACCTTTATATCGCAATCTTGCCCCATTCATTCACCATCTTGAGAAAAAGAAGAGGAAAACAAGGATTAAAATTCAATTTCAGACATTAATGTTAAACAATTCTTCTCTTAACTACTACTCTCTAATGAGTAATTGTATCCTTTCCCCATCTTAAACAAAATAGGAGCTTTCTAATTCATTTTCTGCCATTCTTTCTTGCTTTATCCTTGCATATGAAAATCTAGAATGAAAAAGAAATTATCAGCCTCAAGATCTCTTCGGGTACCCTAACTGCTATCTATCTCATTTATTTCTCCCATATCCTACCTACTTTATCTTCTCTACTGCTAGGCTTAATTCTTTCGGCTGTCATTAGCAACGGGGGGAGGGGTAATTGGGGGGGAAGAGAGCTGGAGGTGTTTTGCATTCCTTTACTGTGGGTAAGCAAAAGGAGGGGGTGTATGATTTCTTCTTTTCAACTTTCCATTTCCTTGCTAGCCTCTATCCCTTTTTGCGCAGTTGCGATGTCTTATCAAAATATGTCAAGGTCAACGGACAGAGGCCTCATCACCTCCTGAAGATGCCCACATGATCATATTCAGAACTTTTAATTGGAAGAGACTTCTGGACTTCGGGGGGTGGGAACAATTCCATTTCTTTGTATGTGTGATCTGCGCACCAAATTCTCAGTTTCGGAATTCCATCTGTAGCTTCCTCTTCATTTTCCAGTAAAAGAATAACTTTGCTCTGATCCATGGAGTCTGGGTATTTCTTTCTTGGATTTTGAAGGGAACACACACTGACAGAAATCTTAATATATAGCCAAGTTTTCTTTTGATATAAATCCAGTTATAACATTAGAATAAATTTTCCTTTGGGAGGGCCCATTGCATGAAAGTATATTGTATTAAATACATGTGTAAATTGCGGGGTTCCAAATGCCAAACATATTTTTTTTCTTCCAAAATGAATTATAAACAAACAAAACAAGAAAAATGTAAACTAGTACAGGTAGCTTTGGACCTATAAAATTAATAATGAGAAGCTAAGTATCTTTTTGTGCTTAAAAGTATATGTCTCATAGACAAGTCTAAATATCAGATGCAACAATGTCAAACTTAATTCAAATACTCTTGTTTCATTTCCATCCTCTATATTGTTTTATTTAATTAAATAAAATGGGAAAGATTACTTTCCTTCAATAAAGATAATATTACTAATATAGTGTTATAAAATGTGTTGCAATATAAAATTTTGTATCTGTATTAATCATTTTGAATTGCCACAAGTCCTTGGCTAAAAATAGAAATAAATTTCCGCAAATTAAAGCCTTCAACTATCTTAAGTATGCAATAGTGCATGTTTTCTTAGTGCAAAGTCATTTAGGAAAAAAATATCTCTCTCTCCCTCCCTCCCTCTAAAATTTAAAAGTACTGTAGCTTCCTTTCTTACATGTAGTTATGTCAATATGTAAAGGATTGTACACTATTTTTTAACATTTCAATTAAGATAACTTAGCTTGATTAAGGATCATGCCCAAGCTTCTGAGGCTACAGACCCTAAAGATAACATTTTCTATTTTGTGTTTAAGTTAGTCTTTGACTCCAGGGGTAAGTCCTAACAAATTTTGGCAATATTTTCATAAGTGGATTCCATAGCACCTCTTGGTTAGAAACTCTAGGTGTCCCTCAGAAATGTTTATTTGAATCTGCAATTGCTTGATTATTTCTTGATATATTTTAATCTACTTTCTATAAAATTCTTACATAGTTCTTCAATATGCATTAGAGGAGAAGGGAAACTTCTTTCACAAATGATTATTTAAATCAGGAAAAAACATTTTTAAATAAAAACTTTTAAATTAAAAAATTTTAACAATAAAATTATAATTTTATAACAATTATTCATCAATTGTTCACAAAAAGAGGTTTCTCTATGTTCCTCTACGATCAAGAGTTCAAAATACGAGAAATACACAGAAACACCTTTGTAAGGATTATTTAAAACTCTCCAAATATTTGATTATTTTTACCTCTGTTTATCAGCATACCAGAGCACTCATACTTTATGTCAGACAACAACCATTCATAGATAAAAGGTTCTCCACCTTGGAAAAACATTACTGTGATTTAGTTAAACACAGTTTCTTAGAATGAAACAAATCTGAACAATTTCCATATAACTTATAACCCAATTAAGCTTTGCCATAATCACAAATATAATTTAATTAACTATATGATTTTTCAGTTAGGAATATATCCAGCATATTAACCTAAAAAGAACCATCTGCCTGGTTTTTCTAGTGCCATTATTCAGATACTGATATTCAATGATAGGTTTATTGTTACCTATTGTAATATAACTATTTTGAAAACATGTGAACATTAAACCTTTTTGAAAATCTAAATGATGGAAAATTAAAAGATTACAGTATTAAACAAAAAAAATTAAGTTAATTTTATTTTATCTACTGCATATAAAATCAACTGTACAATAATGCTATTTTTCTAGCAATTCTGTTTTCAGATAGTTTGTGAAATCACAGATGATCCTGCCATTTCATCCTATTAGGAAATTTTGAATATTTTAATTTGGGGAGTTTCATTGAAGTGTATGTTAATGCAAATTTTTGAAAGTAAAAAAATAAGAAATAATTAAGCATTTTTATTTATGGGTAAAAGGTGCTGGTCCTTGGGAGGAATTTATGAATTCCTCCCAAGGACCTAAGATAGGCAAATGTTGTTATTTGATGATGCTTAAAGTATCATTGCAGGATGTAAGTTGTCCCAAGTAAAGTTAATTTTTGCAAGTGATTGGTAATTTTGTCAATGCCAATGATGTTCATGTGGTGCTTCATGTTTTGGGACTGTACCCAGGGCCCTCATTACTATTGATAGTATTTTTGCTTTCTTTTGAGAGTTGTGCTACTTCTATTTGCAGCTCTTTGTATTTTGTGATTTTTTCTAATTCTTTCTCTTCTCTTCTGCTGCTTCCATTATTATCATTATTATTTTATAAATAACTCAAAGTGACAAAGATATCTAATATTCCTTCTTTCTTCTATTTCTCCATAACAACAACCCTTTGAAGTGACTTGGGCTGGGAAAGAATGACTAGCCCGAAGTCACTCAACCAGCTTTCATGCCTAAGGTGAGACTCAACAGTCTCAGGACCAGAACTTATGGTCTTCTGGTTTCTAGCCTGATGCCTTAACCACCATGTCAAACTGGCTTTCTGTTAAAAGAAGGCCTGTCTGGAAATGTATTAAAAAGAAATAGGCATAACAAACTATTCCAATATCATTTTAAAACAAAATGAACATATGGAATCCTAGGGTTCTGCAGCACTTTGGATGAGCTCTCCAAGCGTTCCACTGGAGCATATGCGAGATGACTGCACAGTAGCACCATTTAGAGAAGATGTTTCCCAGCCGTGTTGTATGACATTATTTAAAATAATCTAATTTGGCAAAATACCAGCCAAAATATATCCTGCTTTAAGATCAATATTTAGGTTGGTTCACATTAAACCATAACCTGCTGAAGCATCTTTAATGAATAAAACACAATTGGTTGGATCATACAACACACTACATCAAACAAACAAAACACAATGCTTGTACCACAATGAGTGAATCCAATCAGTTTAAATTGCAATATTTACTGTCTTAAATGAGCTCACAAGGAATCGAGTTCCACTTTGAATTTACCTAGTTTGACTTACATTATACTAAATATAGGGAAGGTTTTCTCATCATTTATTATTATTGCCTTTATTGTCAGAGTACAACCTGTGTACAATGAGATTGGCTGAGCTGCCTTTCGTGCAATACCCCCTCCCCCAACACAACTCACAGTGAGGACAGAAGTTCCTAACCCAGTCCCAAGCTTTTTATACTACGTGACCTTGTTCCACAATGCACCGGCCCCGCAAGTCTATCATACTATGTTGACATGAAGTTATTTTCCGTTCAGAAGTCTTACAGCCCAGATAGAAACTGTTTTTCAGCCTTTTGGTGCAGCTGGCTATGCTTCTATATCTCCTACCCAATGGTAAGAGAGTGAAGAAGTGCTGACTGGGGTGTGAGATGTCCCTGATAATTTTCCTCACTCTTCTAAGGCAACGAGCCCTAGTGATGTCATGTAGTGATATCAGGGAACAGCCCACGATGTTTTGTGCTGTGCTCACTATCCTCTGTAATGTCTTTCTATCTGTGGCTGTCAAGCCAGCATACCATACCATAATGCACTATGAGAGGACACTTTCTATTGTGGACTGGTAAAAGGAGGTCATTAGTCATTGTTCCACTTTATTCTTTCGCAAGACCCTAAGGAAATGGAGTCTCTGTTGGGCCTTTCTGGCCACCTGGGTTGTGTTGATTTCCAGGAAAGATCTTCGCTGAGGTAGACTCCCAGGAATTTAAAGGAGGAAACTCTCTCCACACAGCCCCCCTTGATGTAAAATGGGGCGGGTTCCTTTCTCTTCTTCCGGAAGTCTAACACCATCTCCTTTGTCTTGCTGATGTTCAGGTGCAGGTTGTTTTCTAGGCACCATGAGGATAATTTTTGAACCCTCCCTGTATGCTGTTTCGTCTCCTCCTGTAATGAGACTCAATACGGTAGTATCATCTGCGAACTTAATGATCACAGTGGATGGGTCAGACGATACACAATCTTGTGTGTACAGTGAGTACAGGTAGGGACTGAGAACACAGCCCTTTGGGGAACCAGTGCTAAGCTTCAGGGAGGTGGATGTGACAGACCCAGCCCTTACTGTTTGTGGTCGGTCCCTCAGAAAGTAAAACAAGTGCATGTAACACACTGACAAATAATGAGTGTAAATGCTTCACTGTATCTCACCAAATACTTGATGAATATTGTGCACCATTGTTATTTTAAAGCCCGATTTTAGTCACTCCCAAGTTCCTCAGTATGTGCCAGTCTAAGGAAGTAAAGAAACCATTTTGTACTATAATTTAAAAATTTGTCAATATTGAAATATAAAATTATGTTTTACAGAGGATTTTATAGCATTTTATAGAAGTCAAAATGACTTACT